ATGATTACTCCATGGTGCTCACTGGAGCTGCTTTCTACCACAGGCCAGTTAAGCACATGCCAATCATTAACTTAAATGTTATTCATTTTGCAAAAGGACATTATATATACTGTATATAAAGGACATTATATAGTCTGTATATAAAGGACACTATTTAGACTGGATATAAAGGACACTATATAGCCTGTATATAAAGGACACTATATAGCCTGTATATAAAGGACACTATTTAGACTTAATATATTGGACACTATATAGCCTGTATATAAAGGACACTATATAGCCTGTATATAAAGAACACTATTTAGACTGGATATAAGGGACACTATTTAGCCTGTATATAAAGGACACTATATAGCCTGTATATAAAGAACATTATTTAGACTGGATATAAGGGACACTATATAGCCTGTATATAAAGGACACTATATAGCCTGTATACAAAGGACACTATTTAGACTGTATATAAAGGACACTGTTTAGACTGGATAAAAGAGACACTATATAGCCTGTATATAAAGGACACTATTTAGACAGTATATAAAGGATACTATATAGCTTGTAAACAAAGGACACTGTTTAGACTGGATAAAAGAGACACTATATAGCCTGTATATAAAGGACACTATTTAGACTGTATATAAAGGACACTATATAGCCTGTATATAAAGGACACTATTTAGACTGTATATAAAGGATACTATATAGCCTGTATATAAAGGACACTATTTAGACTGTATATAAAGGACACTATATAGCCTGTATATAAAGGACACTATATAGCCTGTATATAAAGGACACTATTTAGACTGTATATAAAGGACACTATTTAGCCTGTATATAAAGGACACTATTTAGACTGGATATAAGGGGCACTATATAGCCTGTATGTAAAGGACACTATTTAGACTGTATATAAGGAACACTATATATACTGTATATAAAGGACACTATATAGCCTGTATATAAAGGACACTATTTAGACTGTATATAAAGGACATTATATAGCCTGTATATAAAGGACACTATTTAGACTGTATATTAGGGACACTATATATACTGTATATAAAGGACACTATATAGCCTGTATATAAAGGACACTATTTAGACTGGATATAAGGGACACTATATAGCCTGTATATAAAGGACACTATTTAGACTGTATATAAGGAACACTATATATACTGTATATAAAGGACACTATATAGCCTGTATATAAAGGACACTATTTAGACTGTATATAAAGGACATTATATAGCCTGTATATAAAGGACACTATTTAGACTGTATATTAGGGACACTATATATACTGTATATAAAAGACACTATATAGCCTGTAAATAAAGGACACTATTTAGACTGTATATAAAGGACATTATATAGCCTGTATATAAAGGACACTATTTAGACTGTATATTAGGGACACTATATATACTGTATATAAAGGACTCTATATAGCCTGCACTATATATACACTGTAAAAAGGACACAATATACTGTATATTAAGGACACTATATATGCTGTATATATAGGAGTCTAAATATACTGTATGTAAAGGACATTATATATACTGTATTTAAAGGACACTATCTATACTGTAAATAAAGGACACTATATATACTGTATGTAAAGGACACTATCTATACTGTAAATAAAGGACACTATATATACTGTATGTAAAGGATATTATATATACTGTAAATAAAGGACACTATATATTCTGTATTTAAAGGACACTATATGTATTTAAAGGACACTATCTATACTGTAAATAAAGGACACTATATAAACTGTATTTAAAGGACAGTATATATACTGTATGTAAAGGACACAATATATATTGAATGTAAAGGACACTACATATACTGTATGTACATGACACTACATATACTGTATGTAAAGGACATTATATATACTGTAAAAAAAAATTAAAAAGAAAAAATAAAGTTTTCACTGTCTTCTTGTAGTATTATTAGCACACTATGGGGTTTTTACCAGAGTATTTGTGTATACTGACTCTAAAGTTTTCTGTATTTTCCATCTTTTATTTCCTACCACAGGTATTATAACTACTTGTACACACACTACCTGCCTGGCAGCCTGAAGGGTCTGGTTGACCAGCTGTCAAACTGTGAAGACATTCTGATGAACTTCCTGGTGTCTGCGGTCACTAAGATGCCCCCTATTAAGGTCACTCAGAAGAAGCAGTACAAGGAAACCATGATGGGACAGGTAGAAACTGTACTAAATAAAGCGCTCAACTCTTATTTTCAGCTCCAGTTTCGTCCTGCAGTTAAATCTGGAAATGTGAGGAAGAGTTTAAGACACACTGGCAAGTGCGTCACAGTTTTTTTTCCCTCCCAAAATAGCTTATAATGACTTGAGGAAATACTGGAGCTTCCTCCAAAGGTTTCTGCTATTCTCATATAAAGACTGTTTTGAATGTGCTCAGTGGATCCACTTAGTAATATGTGCAAATCAGAAGTCTTAATTTAAGCATTTAATTATTTCTGCTATTATTATGTTTATTGTTTTTATAACATTTATTATTATTACAATAATAAATAGTATTTTACTAATATTTTACTATTATTATTTACATTATTTTATTTGATTCAGTCGTTAGTGTTTGTTTGTGATTGTGTGTTTAGTGTTTTGAAATAGTTTTACTTTTTATGTTATTGTTTCATTTGTTTTTAGTTAACTATATTACCATGTCAGGAATCAGTTGACATTTCTGTGTGGAGTTTGCTTGTTCTCCTCGTGTTCCCTCTGGGTGCTCCGGTTTCCCCCACAGTCCAAAGACATGCACAATAGGTGAATTGGGTAGGCTAAATTGTCCTAATTGTATGTGTGTGAAGGAGAGTGTATGGCTGTTTCCCAATGATGGGTTGCAGCAGGAAGGGCATCTGCTGCGTAAAATGGCGCAGTGCGAATGGCTCGGCGCAAATTGAGCATTTTGCGCGTTTGACGCGCTTAACACGCGTTTCGCATGAATCAGTCGAGTTCGAAAATCTGAACTTCAGCGGACATTCGCGCCGCGTTAACCAATCAGGAGCTTGCTCTTGTGGGGGCGTGATTGTGACATATCGCCTGTTGTTGGAGTATCGGGGGAAATCCTCCAGCCGACACCGACAAAAAGTTCATCAAACTGGGCTGGGCTCAGTCAGAAGCACCGCAGAAAGCCTCCGTCAGCCAGGTTCAGTTTCTGGAGGAGTTAATGAAACTACAATCACAGAGCAGACAGGAGCCCTGCCCATCACACGAATCCAGGTCTGTTCTGAAGTGGATTTGACGCGCGAATGAAACTGGGTTTGACGCGCGAATGAAACGGGGTTTGACGCGCGAATGAAACGGGGTTTGACGCGCGAATGAAACGGGGTTTGACGCGCGAATGAAACGGGGTTTGACGCTCGAATGAAGCGGGGTTTGATGCGCGAATTAAGCGAGTAAACTCAAATGTTCATGCGGCTATTTACGCGCAAATAGCGCGATTTATCCACGCGTTCTGCGTCTGGTGTGAACACAGCATAACAGCAGCAATATTTGTCAGACTGTAGCGAGTTTATTGCTCTGCTGTTGCTCTATGTGGGTGGAGTAATTCAAAAGGGTGAAAGAGGCTGTACGAGTGCTGTTATTACAGGAATATAGCATTTTGTGTGTGTGTGTGTGCGTGCGTGCGTGCGTGCGTGCGTGCGTGCGTGCGTGCGTGCGTGCGTGCGTGTGCATGTGTGTGTGTGTGTACTGTTGAAGTCAGAATTATTAGCCCCCCTGTTTATTTTTTTCCCCAATTTCTGTTTCACAGAGAAAAGATTTTCTCAACACATTTTTAATCATAATAGGTTTAATACTCATCTCTAATAACTGATTTATTTAATCTTTGCCATGATGACAGTAAATAATATTTGACTAGATATTTTTCAAGACACTTCTATACAGCTTAAAATGACATTTAAAGGCTTAACTAGGTTAATTAGGTTAACTAGGCAGGTTAGGGTAATTAGGCAAGTTAAAGTATAATGATGGTTATTATTATAGTAGTTTTTAATTTTTTAAAACCATTTTAAGGTCAATATTATTAGCCCTCTTAAGCTATATTTTGTTCAATTGTCTACAGAACAAACCATTATTACACAATGACTTGCCTAATTACCCTAACTTGCCAAAATAACCTAGTTAAGCTCTTAAATGTCACTTTAAGCTGAATACTTGTATCTTGAAAAATATCTTGTCAAACAGTATTTACTGTCATCATGGCAAAGTTAAAATAAATCAGTTATTAGAGATGAGTTATTAAAACTATTAACTGTTTAACTGCTAACCAACTCTTTCTTTCCACTGCAGACGTCCCGTGCATCACGTTGGGCCGACCCTGACCATTTTGCCCAGAGGCAGACGTGCATGAACAAATTTGCCAGCTGGTTTGGCACAATGCCCCTGGTCCATTCGCAAATGAGACTGGATCCTGTTCTGTTCAGGGACCAGGTATCAATACTGCGCAAGAAGTACAGAGACATCGAGCGACTCTGACCAATCCGAAAATCCCCTGCCTCTTTTAAGTAGGGATGGAAAATGGCATACGAAAAACCTCCTGAAGCCCTGCTAAACCAGATCAACAGGGATAAACGGGGTCACGCAGAACCCTCAGGGAGGGAGCACATCGAGACGGGGCGCAGTATTGTGTTTGAGATTCATCTGTCAGAGATGGAAATCATAAGATTGGATTATCGGCGTAATTTGCCATTCTGCGCAACACAAAGACACGCCATCGCTGGCACATTTCTGTCTTCCGCAAACCCTTCTTGTAATGCTTTGCCAATGACAACGGTCAACATGGCAACCTCGCCATGCACACACAGATCCACATATAGACTAATGCACATGGGTTTGCCCTCTGCATCAGACCCCTTCATGTTAGACATTTCCTCGAGGTCGCTTGCATATTTATTCAGTTCGCCTTCTACTTTTCTGGCAAGCATCACGCCCCTCTTGAAGATGCAAGACAACGTCCTGCGGAGAAGTCAAGCGTGCGAAACACCACGCATAACGTCACAGTGCCTGAACTTTCAGATGAATCGTATCTGGAAGTCCAAAGGGGTTTTGTATGAATGCAAAAACACCTTGTTCATGCTGCTTATATTTGGATTCAACATGTTGATGTTCCACATATTGGCCCAAAGCTTCTTTCTATAAAAGCCTTTTTGTGTATTTTGTCAAACTGACATCATTTTTGTGATTTAATTATAATTTTTTTGGATGATTTAGGCCCAATGCCACAATTGTTTCGTTCTTAGTCTGATTTTCTTATGAGTGTAATGCCACGTTCACACTACAGCTGATTCGGATGTCACTCCACTTCTGATCACTTATTCTTGTTCTGAACACAGAATATTTTTGGAAGTGAAACAAATCCTGATTTAGACCTTTTCCTATCATTTTCTCTGTACTTACATGTTTTTCGAGAGTAACTTCATTTTCACACTCAAACAAATTCGGATTCAGTCCTGTTCTGACTGCATATTCTGTTTATACTATATACAGATGTTTGTTTGTTTCTTTTGGAAGTAAAAATCATGATTTAGACCCAATGCCACAAATATTTCTTTCTCTGTTTTCATAGATTTTATGAGTGTGATGTCATGTTCACACTGCCGCTGATCCAGATGTGACTCCACATCTCACATTCTGCGCATTCTCATTCTGTTCACACAAAAAAATATTTTTAAAAGTAAAAAAAAAATGATGATTTAGACCTAACGCTACAAATATAACTTTCTCTGTGCTCACATGTTTTTCGAGAGTAACTTCCTGTTCACACTTAAGCTAATTCAGATTCAGTCCTGTTCTGACTGCGTGTTCTATAAACAGATATTTTTTTATGTAAAAATCCGGATTTAGACCTGAAGCCACAAATATCACTTTCTCTGTGCTTACATGTTTTTCAAGAGTAATTTCATGTTCACACACACACTCCCAACTAATTTAAATTCAATCCAGTTCTGTCTTGTTCTTGATTTTGACCTAATGCTACAAATATCACTTTCTCTTCACTTTCTCTGTTTTTCGAGAGTCATTTCATGTTCACACTCGAAATAATTTGGATTCAGTCTTGTTCAGACTGCTTATTCTCAGTCTATATAAAAATGTTTTTATTTAGAAGTTAAAATCAGGATTTAGACCCAATGACAAAAATATCACTTTCCCTGTACTTGCATGTTTTTCGAGAGTAATTTCATGTTCATTCTCCAACTAATTCGGATTCAGTCCAGATCTCATTCTATAAACAGATGTTTTATTTGGAAGTAAAAATCATGATTTAGACCTAATGCCACAAATATTACTTTCTTTGTTTTCATAGATTTCTATAGAGTGTAATCTCATGTTCACACTTCATCTAATCCAGATGTCACTTCACTTCTGGCTGCTTATTCTCGTGCTGTACACACTGAATATTTTTGAAAGAAAAAAAAAAAAGATAATTTAGACCTAATGCTACAAATGTCATTTTCTCTGTTCTGACATGTTTTTTAGGAGTAATTTCATGTTCACACTGAAAGTAATTCAGATTCAGTCCAGTTGTGACTGCGTATTCCCATTCATTATACAGATGTTTATATTTGGAAGTCAAAATCTCGATTTAGACCTAATCACTTTGTTATCGCTTTCATAGTTTTTCGAGAGTCATTTCATGTTCACACTCAAACTAATTCGGATTCAGTCCTGTTCAGACTGCATATTCTCATTCTATACACAGATGTTTTTATCTGGAAGTAAAAATCAGGATGTATACTTAATGCCACAAATACCACTTTCTCTGTAATTTCATGTTTTTCAAAAGTAATTTCATGTTCACACTCACTCTAATTTGGATTCAGTCCGGTTCTGACTGTGTATTCTGCAAATACTGTATACAGAGGTTTTTTTTTGGTAGTCAAAATCCTGATTTAGACCTCATGCTACAAATATCACATTCTCTGTACTTACATGTTTTTCGAGAGTAATTTCGTATTCACACTTCAACTAATTTGGATTCAGTCCAGTTCTGACTGCGTATTCTTATTATATATGCAGATGTTTTTATTTGGAATTTAAAATCAGGATTTGGACCTAATGCCACAAACAAGACTTTGTACTTACAAGTTTTTCAAAAGTAATTTCATGTTCACACTCACTCTAATTTGGATTCAGTCCGGTTCTGACTGTGTATTCTGCAAATACTGTATACAGAGGTTTTTTTTTTGGTAGTCAAAATCCTGATTTAGACCTCATGCTACAAATATCACATTCTCTGTACTTACATGTTTTTCGAGAGTAATTTCGTATTCACACTTCAACTAATTTGTATTCAGTCCAGTTCTGACTGCGTATTCTTATTATATATGCAGATGTTTTTATTTGGAATTTAAAATCAGGATTTGGACCTAATGCCACAAACATGACTTTGTACTTACAAGTTTTTCAAAAGTAATTTCATGTTCTCACTTAAACTAATTCGCATTCACATGCCACAAATATTTTGTCTCTGTTTTCATAGATTTTATGAGTGTGATGTCACACTGCACCTAATCCAGATGTCACTCCGCTTCTGACTGCTTATTCTCGTACTGTACACACAAAGAATATTTTTGAAAGTGAAAAAAATTAATGATTTAGACCTAACGCTACAAAAATCACTTCTTCTGTTTTTTTTAGAGTAATTTCACGCTCACACTCCAACTAATTTGAATTCAGTCCAGTTCTGACTGCATCTTCTAATTCTATATACAGATATTTTTAATTGGAATTAAAAATCATGATTTAGACCTAATGCTACAAATATGACTTTCTCTTTTTTAGTAGATTTAATGGGTGTATTGTCATGTTCACACTCAAACTAATTAAGATTCAGTCCTGTTCTGACTGCTTATTCTGATTCTATATGCAGGTGTTTTTATTTAAAAGTAAAATCAGGTTTTAGACCTAATGCCACACATATTACTTTCTGTTTTCCTAGATTTTATATATATTTTAGTGTAATGTCATGTTCACACTGCAGCTGATCCAGGTGTCAGTCCACTTCTGACTGCTTATTCTTGTTCTGTACACAAATATTTTTTTAAAAGTAAAAAAAAAATCATGATTTAGACTTAATGCCACAAATATCACTTTCTCTCTTCTTGCATATATTATGTGTAAAATTTCACGTTTACACTGCAGCTAATTCAGATGTGGCTCCACTTCTGACTGTTTCTCATTCTATATACTTCTAATTATTTATTTGGAAATCCTCATTTAGACCAAATGCCACAAACAAATATCTTACAGTCTGTTACATGACATTACAGTCTGTTATGATGCGTTTTATGAATGTAATGTCATGTTCACACAGGAGTGGATTCAGATGTCACTCCACTTGTTACTGCTTGTCATTCTTTACGCATAATATTATATATATGGAAGTTACAAATCATGATCTAGACTCAGTGCTATAAATAACTAGCTATTCTGTTCTTACAAAGTTTTGTGAGTGAAATTCCATGTTCACGCTCTGGCTAATTCGGATGTCACACCACTTCGGACTAATTATTGTCATTCTATATATACATAACATTATATTACACCTAGTATTATTTTGAAATTACAAATCATGATTTAGACCCAACACCACAAACATCTTGTGCTCTATTTTTATGCATATTATGTTGGTAATGTCACATTGACACTAGAGTGGATTCAGATGTCACTCCTCTTCTGACTGTTTCTCATTCTATACACTTTGAATTATTTATTTGGAAATTAAAAATCCTCATTCAGACCAAACGCCACCAAAAAATATCTTACAGTCTGTTTTAATGCATTTTATGACAATAATAACACGTTTACACTGCTGTGAATTCAGATGTCACTCCACTTCTGACTGCTTCATTTTGGCCTGAATTTGTTTTTATTTAAAAGCGCGAATTCCCATTCAAATTCTTTGTTTGGTAATATTTTTTTCTGTCCTGAATTTTATTTTATTTTATTTTTTAATACAAGCCTTTTTTTGATCTCAGCCTGGTTTTATTTTCTAATGAGTGTAATGCCATATCAGCGTCCACATTCACACTGCAACTTATTCTGATTTCACAGCACTTTTGATGCTTACTGTTACATTTTGTGAGAGTCTGGTTATTGACAACAGCTTTTACAAATCAGTTTAAAATTAAGTTGTTAATGCAAAAATGCTGGGTTTCAGTGTTCCAGTCGTCCTAACAAAAAACGATTAAGTTAACTAAATTGATTTGATGAATTAAAGTGGATTGAACAAAATTAGGTTGTCCCCCTAAAAATCGCAAGAATTGTGACATTTCAGCTCATTTTAAACAAGTAGTTTACTTTACTTTACAGCAAAAATGATTTTTTGAGTCTAATGATAAACAAGGAGAGAATTGTTTTGCTTATTTTTGTCTGGTATTTCTTTCCTAAAAGCAAATTAAAAAAGTGTGTGCTCTAAAGCACCGATTTCACACTACATCTAAGCTTATCCAAAACCTACTTTTTTTTTTCAAACTAGTCCTAGGTTTTTCAACGGATTGGAACCAAACCAATTTCGGAAGATTCTGTGGACACTGAATATCAATAATTATATATATAAAAAAAGTTGAAATTTAAATTTTCACACAAATTTTTTCACACGAAAGTAGTAATTTGCTCTTCACCAAACTTCAGATTGAGGTCAAATACCAAAAGTTGCCGACTTTAGGCACATGGTGGCGCTATATTTTGTTTTTTGTACTGTATGATGGAAAGCACATGTCCAATGGCACAAGTCTAAGCACGCAAGTAATGTATAATTGCAATATTTAACACTAGTTTCCTGATCAATCTCGATAAGCAAATCGATTAAAATGTCATAAATAATTCATTAACATTCGGTTGAAGCTTCAGGTTGGAGTTTAGAGAACATCTGCCATTGATTTTCTGTTATGAAAGAACTATTATCTCATTATTACTCATGAGTACAGCTGTTTTTTTTCCCAAAGGAAACTGATTTAAAAGTACTCTATACCCCTCAATGTGGACTAGATTCAATCTAGATGCCAAATGTTGTGCTTTATGAATAAAAACAGAACAATTTACAGTTATTTAGTGGGTTTGGCTGTCAATAAAATGCATCTTTGCAACAAAAACATGCGGTACAGCCTTAGTTCTGTTCAATTCTGAAAAAAAGTAGTGGTTTTTACCTGCAA